AGCTGCGATGGTTGCAGTAGCAATAGTCGCAACAGCAAGGAGAGCCACCATGACTCTGGTCATGGTGCTGCTGCGGTTGTATGGATGCAGTAGACGCATGCGACAACTAGCAGGAACAGAAGAGCAACGTCAGCATCGAGCAGCACCCGGCTGAAATTCTTCCAAACAAGACTGTAGGCTGGAGGTGTCTACAGAACAGCTAGCTCAGTGGCAGATAGGTTAGGCGTCCAGAATTTCAAGCCTCACCTAAACAGTGAATGCACACCCGACGTCGCGGTCCCTGCAGCCACTCGCACAAAGCGCACACGGCTGAAATTAGATGCGATGTCAAACTGAAGCTTCAACTCCCCCAGGCCACAGGCGAACGTTCTTCTGCGGCTAGGATTCAACATTGCTTAGATCACATGCAGGGTGCGCTTCGTCCACAACAAGACACAGTCTGCAAGAAGCTAGATCATGAGCCTGAAGTCGTCGGATCCTAGATGCAAGTACACCGAAGTACAAGACGCCTTCATGGCAAAGGGACACTGACTAAGGTGTTTCCTTCTACTTCGTCATAAATCCTTTCCTAGTTTGCCCAGGGTTGGTCGACCTGGTCTTTTGCCAAATCCAAGCACATCAGCCCCCAAACCCTTTTGGAAGAGCCCGAAGAGTTGAAGGGATGCACAACCTCTTAGTCTAAAGCTGAACATAGGGTCGGAGAACTGAATCAGAGTTTTGATGTTATCTTGCCGATTTCTAGTAGAATATGTGACCGAAAGCTTTTTTTTTGATTGGAAATGCCACTATATTATCCCCTGATAGCACCAGTACAGTAGCCCTCAAAGAAACCCTTATAGAAACCTCTCAACGGAAGCTGTTGCAACGACAGAGGCCCTTATCGTATCCCAGGATCGCCTCGTCAAGCTGCTTCGAGCTTCTTCGGGTTAAGACACAGCCAATGGGTACCTCAATCTACCAAAACCTACTTTTTTGTAGGGTCCCTATAAATTCTATGTTAGGGTTTATGATAGGGACCTACAAAAAAGTAGGTTATGGTAATTCAAGGTAGCTCTGTGAAAGTAGGCTCCCTTTTTGGTACGACGCCTATTTCAGGGACCTTAACTGGGACCCTACTTTACAGAACCACCTCAATGCTTGTGCTCGGCATAGGGCTCATACTCTTCTTGTCTCAGTTTTCGATAGACATACACTGGCCTTGACAGCTCTGCAGGCAAAGCCCCAGACTCCGGATGCAATGATCCTCACACGAAAATCTTGGGCAAAGAAATGGCATGTGGCTGGGCCGAAGTGGTTTCACTCGTCCTGAGTTGTATGTGCCGACGGCTGGGCATCGTCGTTCTGCCAGAGCATGAAAAGTTCCCGAGTTGACCTCCGCAAGCGATGTCCCGTTACCATTACACGCTCTCAAAGAGGAGACCCGAGAGAAACAAACTGATTCCCTTCCTTATTGCCACATAAAGATGATAATGTAGTTCAACATGCCGCAACACGTTGTTCGCTCTTCTGTTGCTGATTTTGGGGGCTCCTTATTATAACTATAGTACAATCTACACCCAAAACCCTCTTCGAATTATGAAGGCGCCTACATTAGGGCTCGCTGTCGTGACTACGACCATGCTTCACCACCACCATGCCCCCTCGCAAGGCCCAACCCTTTGCCCGCATAATATAGGGGCCAATTAATAACTGGGGCTTATTATACTATAATTATAACTAAGGAACTTCCAAAAATAGTATTGGTAATTATTTTGGCAAAGCATTGCACCCTGTGCAGGGCCTCTACATCTATAGGAATCCTCATCCTTACAGGGTTCCTTATCATTCATAAAAAGCATACCACGAAACCGTATACTAATTAGTAAGGATCCCCTAAAAAACACTCGCTTTGCGGAGCTTGTAGTCCTTTCAGATATGCAGAACCAGTCCGCAGGTGGGGAGGTCAGAATAAGACTAAGCGAATTTTGCTGCGTGCAGAGGGTCTCAGAATGAGTGTGCCTGCGTGGAGTTGGTGAGATAGCATCACCTCAGACAAGGTTACCGCCGGAGCAGATATCTTGCCCAAAGCCCAGCACCCTCAGCCCCGATGTAGTCAGACATGATAATAACTCTTTAGATGTCCCATCACTTGCCGCGCCGAAAACCCAACAAGACCCCTGAGTGGGTGTTTGCAGTTGGATTTTTACAAGCATGGTTCTCTACCTACAGCGGCATCTTAATTTCATGAACTTCCGCTGAGACTTGCATAGATGAGTGCAGAGCCCTGAGCGTCACAGTGTTTGCAACATTGTAGAACCGCCCAGGCCTTTCACCCTCAGACCCCAAAACCCCAAAGCCTAAATCCCGCAGAGTCATCACCCAAACCGAGTACCGCCGTTACAGATATCCCTTCAGGCGGGGTAGCTGTTGCGGAGTTTCATGGTTTTACTTTCAGGGCAGATCATGGCCACTTTTGAGACGCTGCGAATTTGGTGCATCCGCTGACACCCCCAAGGGGTGGAGGCAGACATAGCACACCGCAGAGAGGGGGATGCGGAACCTCCAAGAAGGGCCCGGACTCCACGAGGGACGAGAGTGGTTACATATGTTTAGAGTCTACTACACCACGCTATGCTATACTAGACTACACTATACTAAACTGTCATCGTCATGCTGGGGTTTACAACCCTAAACCCTAAACCCTAAACCCTACCAGAACGAAACAGGAGAAGTTGTGTAGTGGAGCAGGCGACCAGTGGCTCTCCTGTTGCTAAGGCCCTTTCAGAAGTCCTACCTACCCTAGCTGTTTGTTTCAGACGTTGACGGTGTGCAGCGGCGCCGTCTCGGGGAAAAACGCTGCATGTGCGAGACAAGCTGTTGCGATTTCCGTATGAAGTCCGCGATCCCACTATATCGTTGGCCATGGCAAAGTGCCGCAGTTTCGAAACTATTGCAAAACCCCAAGTAATAGTGCCCGGTATATATGAAACACAGAAGACAGACAGGTCATGCTAGGCCTAGCCCTTGGGTTCAAGTCCCAAGAAACATATGGGGAGTCCCAAGATAGGTGACCCTAATATAGTACCCTAAATAATAGGATCCCGATTATAAGGGCCCCCAAATAAGGTAATTACCCTAATTTTCTGAAGCTCCCATATATGATCCCTATTATAAGGACCCCCAAATAAGGTAATTACCCTAATTTTCTGAAGCTCCCATATATGATCCCTATTATAAGGACCCCCCCAAATAAGGTAATTACCCTAATTTTCTGAAACTCCCATATATGATCCTAAACCCTAAACCCTAAACCCTAAACCCTAAACCATGATGACGAAGCAGGAGACCCAGAACCCTGAAATAACGACTCCGAGCTCCCGGACTCCTAAACCTTTTGGGTTTTAGGGTTTTAGGGTTTTAGGGTTTAGGGTTTAGGGCTGCTTGCAAGAGTCCTGGATGCAAAAGGGTTTAGGGTTTAGGGGTTTTGGGTTTAGGGTTTTAGGGTTCAGGGGTTTTGGCTTTAGGGTTTAGGGTTTTAGGGTTCAGGGGTTTTGGCTTTAGGGTTTTAGGGTTTTAGGGTTCAGGGGTTTTGGCTTTAGGGTTTAGGGTTTTAGGGTTTAGGGGTTTTGGGTTTAGGGTTTAGGGTTTTAGGGTTTAGGGGTTTTGGCTTTAAGGTTTAGGGTTTTAGGGTTTAGGGGTTTGGGGTTGAGGGTTTAGGGTTTAGGGTTTCATTGCCCAAAAGCACAGGGGAAGACGAAGCCTTGTGTCGATGTGAATACACGACTTCTTCCTTCGCGGCCAGACCTGGTAATTCTTCTTTTCGTATTCAAATATGGAGCATGTAGGTGTGCAAATGCGCAGGCATGCATACTACAGCCACACAGGTATACGGACATACGGACGCACAGACACATACGTCACTTACTTACTTACTTGTATGCTGTTGGTCATTACCGCAACAAAGATGATGAGATGATGGTGATGATGACGATGATGAAGATGATGGTGAGGGTGAAGAAGAAGATGACGATGATGATGATGATTACGTGTGGTTTGAGCCTTTGACATCCCAGACCCGCTCCCTGAAGAGAGCTGCCAGGCTGCGTGAAACGAGAGCAAACCCAGTTCTTGTGAACCTTATAAACCCAAGGAGCTTCTGTGGGTAGCTCCGACGCTGCGGGCGGAAAAAGTTGCCCCTAAACCCTAAACCCTAAAACAAAAACAAGGAAAACCCCACCGTAAACCCTAAACCATGTGCACATCTCTCAAGGACCGGCCAAGTCCTCCCGGACCTGAACGCCTGCTTCCGTACCTGTCCGACTGCTTGGCATGTCCTTCTTTTGCGAGTTGGGGGGTCAGGTCGGGGATAAAGGATGTGTGCTATAGTTCCCTTCTAGTCACTAACACGATGAATCTGTAACATGTCCTGTGGAGGCCCCTACATTAGGTTGAGGAGTTGGGGGCATTTGACAGAGTGCTACAGTGTTGAAGATTTGATTATGTTTCACAGCAGTTCACAGCAGTCCGTTACTATCATGAAGGATGGGAAACTGCGGATAGTGGAGGGTAGGTAGCGGGATGTTTCAAGTCATCACCCTCGCTGTAGTTTCCATCTAGCTTTGAAGCCTGCTATACGGTATACATCCACAATTACAGATATCCATTTTAGGGTTTTGGCCTACCAGCCCATTTCTGTTTGATCTGTGAAGCATTACCAAGTCCTTCCCCATAAATTTCATAGTGCCCCACGGCCAACAACAATGGCACCGGTGGCCGCTGTGGTTGAGGTTACGCCCACCACAACGCAGAGCTTCGGGAGCAGTTCTTCACGACCGAGGTGGGCAGCTGCCAGTATGGAAGTAAGTATGTTTGCATGTAGCGTGACACGGGCCCGCATCGGGCAGAAAGGCGCGATTGCAGTCCAAAAAGCCTGACGTTTGCAAAGACCTTCGGTGCTGAAAGCTTCCATCCTTTGCATGTCTGTAGAGCCCTGCTTCAGACAACATACCAAGGCAGCCATCATGGCTGCACCCGTGGAGGGTGCACTGGAGGCCCTCCAGGCCTTCAGGCCTGTCAGGGCGTGCTTGATAGCTTTCGGAATCAGGGGGAAGTTGTGGTTGGAGCAGGTGAACCCTGCTCGCAAAATTGCCAAAACTTCATCTCTATCTGAGTGTCAGAAAGACAGATGGACGTCTAAGCTCCACACACAAACACACACACACTCCTACAACCCTAAGCCCGAAAATCGTCGACTGCCAGGGCCTTGGGCTTCACGCTGCACGCGCTCAGCTCCCGGCCGCCCAGCTCGCAGAACGTCGTGCGGCCCAGAGTTTGTTAAAGATCCAAAGACTTCAGGGGTAGTTAAATTACTTAAAGGCGAGATCAAATCAATGCTGCGCGGTAGTCCATTTTATGTTGAAACTAAATCATGGTTTTAGCTTCTTCAGACTTGCTGAAAACCCACCAACTCCACCGGAATGCCACATGATACTGCTGCCCCGACCAAAGCAACCACCCCTGCTCCACCCCCACACCGACCAAACACTAAGCCACATCAGCACTACGACGACGATGACGAAGATGATGATTTACTACTAAGACTAGTAGGCTACACAGAACTAGTAAGCAAAGCAGAATACAGGCTTTTCTTAAACTGTGTATACATTCACCGCCAAACGGGTCAGCTTTTCGCCGGTGTAGGGCTGAACGGACCCCCAAGTGCCTAAACCCTAAACCCCTAATTCGAAGGTTTGGCACATAGACCTTGAGATAATGACAGTGCCTACGGTTACGCCGATTCTGGCAGAGCGTGCAGCAAAAAGCATACAGCTGAATGCCGAAGCCCGATTTTTACCCTCCAGCCTCCATGAATTTTCAGCTGGAGTCCTCAGCCCTCAGCTCCCACATCATTCATTATAAGGCTGAAACCGCTGTAACCTGTCAGCTCCTAGCCGACGAACCCTCAACTCTAAAGCCTACATGACATTCTGTACCCTGCATTGCGGGCTTCGTCCTAGCTAGGTGGGAGGCAAAAAAGGCCTACACCCTCTTGTAGCGTGAGAGCCTGCATTCCCTGGCCGGAGCTTCTCGGCGAAAGGCCACGCATCGCTTTCTGCATCGGTGTTTCCCAGGACTGGCTAGGCCCTCAGAGCCCAGAGGGTTTGAGGCTCCAAGGGGGTAAAACATGGGGGTCGGAAGCAGTACGGTGACAGCAGTCGCCTCTCCTTGTAGTCTAAATATTCGGATCGCATACGTACTGTTCCCCAAAAACTCCATTCCAATCCTTGCAATTATATTTACCCATAGCCCCCATATTAGTAGCATGCTTTAGGCATCGTCCTCAGCACGGGTCCAACATAAGCTGAGCATATAGGAAAGAAGGGCCGATCGTTTCGGTTGATTCAGGAATTTGCAGGATGTAGGGTTTGCGTGATGACTGCCCGATAACGACATGGAAGGCACAAAGCTCTAACAGGAATGAAGCTGATAGTACCTGTAACAATCCTGGGAACTAATTCAATGAGTCTAGCCTCAAATCTTGAATCTCTAAATTCGAATCCCTTGTGGGGTCCTTTTTATAAGGGTGCCGTGCTATGTTGGGGTCCTAAAAGGGGCCCGAAATTAGAGAACCACCCATGTAGCACTACACTTCCAGGTGGTCCCGAGAGCAGCAGCATGGGAGATGCTGGTCGGTTTAGGGTTTTGGGTTTAGGGTTTAGGGCCGAGCCTAACGTAACCCCAACTCCCAACTCCTAAACCCTCCGACACTGGATCTGGAGTACCATACTTGAATACTTTTTTTGGGGGGACCTGTTCCTTAAGGGAACCATTGTGAAATTAAAGGCTATACTTCTTTCTCCCTGGTTACTTCAAAGTCTAACAAATTTTAGGCCCTCAGCCCTGGTCCGAAACCCTAAACCATGGCCCTTATCATGTAAAAAACCTTCCAAAAAAGGGGGCCTTAACAATTTCAAAAAGGCTTTTGGGGCATATTGTACTATAGTTACCACAATAAGGAACCCCCCAAAATAGTATAGGTAATTATGAAGGGCCCTAAATTACGCCCTACACCATGGCCCTCATGTGTATGCTGAGATCACAAGCCTCCATCTCACGCAGCCGCATGGAGCCCCGAAGGGGGCCCGGAGTCTCAGCGAGTCTGGATCACTGCTTGCATCGTCATTGGGGGTTTAGGGTTTAGGATTTGGGGTTTAGGGTTTAGGTTTCAGGGTTCAGGGTTTAGGGTTTCGGGTTTAGGTTTTAGGGTTTAGGGGTTAGCTAAAAGGGATTAGGGTTTACTGGTAATATGATTTAAATTAAACATAGTAATGACGGTGTTTTTTACAGCAATAGTTGAGCAAGAGTCATACTCATAGTACCTAATGACAAGAGTAAGCAAAGCAACGCTAGTAATAATATTTATCAGAATAGTGGAAAACTAGTCATCGCAGTAGTGGTGGTAGTAGGAGTAGTCGTCGTCGTCGTAGTAGTAGTCGTAGTGGTAGTGGTAGTAGTAGTAGTAGTAGTAGTAGTAGTAGTAGTAGAAGTAGTAGTAGTAGTAGTACTTGCAGCTAAAGTTGCTACTTTGAAAACAAATAGTTAATGATTGGGCCCTAGCACCTGCGGATGAAAGAACAACATACTATTACTATGATTATCACTACTACTAGTACTACTACTACTTCTACGACGACGACGACGACGACGACGACGACTACTACTACTACTACTTACTGGGTCTGCCGGTTAGTCTTTAGTCTTGAGTGCTTAAGATAGTGGTACTTACACTGTTTTAGGGAAAGGTGCGTTTCAAGCGATGGGGAGGGTAGTCTTCGCAGCTTTGTCGGCAGAGGAGGTGGCAACAAATTCAGGGGGCTCCAGGGCGCAAGGCATGCTTTCAGATGCTACTCCCAGGGATATGTTGAGATTGGCATGCCAAGACGCACTGCCCAGTATAAGTGGCTGTACTGACGAACTCATGTCTGCTTTGGAGCTGAAAGCCCAAAACTGTCAGCTTTTTCCACCACTTGACAGGCCGTGGCCAGAAGCATCGGCGCCTGGGGCCTGCTGGATGACCAGCATGGCGCCCAGAGAATGCAAACACGACATCATGTAGGCTAACTCTTGTCTAAAGTCGATGCACCAAGAGGTGATAAGCCATGCCGACATGTTGGGGAACATGTGCTCGTGCATCCTTCTTGTGGGAGGTCAAGACATCTGCGCTTGTATGTCCCTGATTCCCGCATGTGCAAAAGAATCGAAGACGACCGCCACTCCAAAGCAGCCTGAAGCTCGAAAAAAAAACGAAAGCCCTCAACTCAAGCCCTAGATCCCCGCTCGCAGCATGTGAAAGCCGGTCCTCGCGAAGTGCAACTTATATCAACAGCGATCAGGGTCCTCTTATTCCAACCAGGATACTTATCGGGATCTTCTAGTATTCCATTATCATGTTTCCCGAAGAAGTATACTGCTTTCCTTCTTATCGTAGCTATCTTAAACTTAGTTCCCTGAAACGAGGATCCCTAAGCGCCAAAACCCAACAAAGCCCCACCCTACAACCCGCCCGAGCAGGATTCTTCTAATTCTGGAACTAGCAGTGGTTTAGGGTTTAGGGTTTAGGGTTTAGGGTTTAGTAAATTCGGAGCCGGAAGGAGAGCTTCCAACTAACAATTAAGAAACTTGTACATACCCTATTATACACCCAACATAACCTGCTCTCTTGTAGGTTGAGAAAAAACCCCTGTAGGCCCTAAACCCTTATAAAGCCCTACACACCACAACATTATAGAAATTATAGGGGCCCTAGAAAAAAACGGTAGGTTTGGGTAGCTCAAGGTAGAGATCAGAGCTCAGTCTGAGACGAGAGGCTGCCCCACGTGCTGGACGCCGTAGCCCAGGGCGTGCCGGCAGCCCTCTTCGATTTCGGAGGCGAGATTCAGAGGGTTTAGGGTTTAGGGTTTAGGGTTTCATTGGATGAAAATCAGATATCCGGGTTTGCCGAAACGGGTTTTTGTGTTTCATAGTCGGCGAAGTAACGATGCCACCCGTTGCAAAAACAAGCTCAGCACCCGCAAGCCTCGGGGAGTTTGCTTGTGAAGGCTCCCCGCGAATCCTGTCAGAGTTCAATCCATCAAAGATTGATGATCGTAATATAGGGGCCATAATAATTAGAATAGGGTTGTGGGGCCCAGTATACTATAATTACAAGAAGGAACCCCCAACATAGTATACGCCCCTACATTAAAGGTTCGCAAGATGCACTCATTCAGCAGTAAGCCTCGGTAAGCATCAATCGTGCCCTGGCGTGCCCATCCTTTCAAGCAGTCTGCTCGCGCGTCTGCAAGCAGATCGAGATGCTGCCCCAGTCCCCTAGAGCTGTGCTAGAATTTGGGCATGGGGCCTGGCATGATAATATGGTAGCCTTAATAGTTAGAATATATTCGGGGCCCATTACACTATAATTATAATAAGGAGCCCCCAAAATAGTATTGGTAATTATTTAGGCCCCTGCATTACTTAAGGTTGACGGGTCGCATGGATTGTGCGTCAGAGTAGAAGGGCCAGGCAATTCGTCTTCAGGTTATGATTGGATGATCGAGCCAGCACAGATTGGGTTAGACATTGAATAGCGAGTAAATAGTCGAAACAGTTTTCAGGGCTAAGGCTACGGTACCTCTCTGTACTGTCCATGCACCCTGACAGGACAGTACACCTGGACGAAGACGGGGGATGTTCCCAGCTCGGCTACGACAGCTGGCGCTTTTAGACTTGTGTTCAGGCTTTCAGGCGCAGGACCCCAATGAAGTGATGTAGGGCTCTAGGGTTTGGAGTTAAGGATGCTTCTTCGCGCAGCTTGAGGTTTGGGTTGTGCAGCCGTTATAACAAGCCGGTTCGATTCCTCCAGCTGCTGAGCTGTCAGCAAGCATTTCCATCCAAGCATGGAGTGCATCGATCGTGAAGGCAAGACCTCGCTGTATTTTCTGTTGGCCTTAATTTGTCTTTCCGTTGAGCCGCCAACTTAGAATTCTATGAGCACCGCTTCTGAAGCGCCCCGATATCCCGAATCCCGAGCCGAAACCCTCAACCCTCAACTGTTTCTTGCAATGCGGGCTTCGTCCTAGCTAGGTGGGAGGCACAAAAGACCGTGAGCGCCGAAACCCTAAACCCTAAAACCCTAAAACCCTAAACCCAGAACCCTTAAACCCTAAACCCTAAACCCTTAAACCCTAAACCCTAAAACCCTAAACCCCGAGCTGACAAAAACTTAAGAGCAATCAAGGCCCTGCCCCCGGGAGCTGTGCGACTCTCCAGCTGGCCGGAAGTTGTGGCCTCCCACCCAGGTCGTTCATGGAAAATACTGTAACACTAACACTAAAAGATGGTATGTTATTGTTTGGCCGGGTGTAACATAATATAACATGAGATAGGACCATATAGTCTAGTACCTTATCATCTCATGTATTGTAATCTGAAATATTCTGTTGTTTGGGCCCAGGACCCCTCGTGTGGTTCTTGCTTGTGATAGTGGCCTGCCGTTGGGCATCCCAGGAAGGGAGCCTGACGTTTGAGAACTGCCCATGTCTTGAGATGGTATGTATGCGGCCGACATACTCAGCAACCCAGCTAACCTGAATGTCTGCATATGTTGTATGCCTCTGCCAACCCCCAAACCTAAGTTCTTACACTCTAGACCCTAAGCTTTTCAGTACATTGTAAATCTTAAACTTATAAACCCCACACCCCAAACCCCCCAAACCCAAAAGTCTTTGCATTATCCCTCAGCCTGAAGCCCCAAACCGCAAACCCCAACAAAACCCTAAAGCCTCATCGGTGCCTCAGTTTTGTGAAAGCCCCTAAACCCTAAACCCAAGAATCCTAAAGCTTCAAGCGATTGCACAAGCCCTGATGCAAGAAGAGTTTAGGGTGCAGGGTTTAGGGCTTATAGTAGGGCTTTAGGGTTATGGGAGTTGTCTCATCTCGCCTTCCGTTTCCTGGCATTCAGCAAGTCCAGGTTCAAAAGGGCTTTAGGGTTTAGGGTTTCCCTAAACCCTAAATCCTAAACCCTAAACCCCTACCCTAAACCCAGCTGATTGGCAGAGTCTGGGTTCAAAAAGGGCATTATCCTCTGAAGCTCTCTCTCGGGTGTGCTGAAGGCCTGGGCGCAGCAACTCCCGGTCCCGCGCTAAGCGGTTTAGGGTTTGACTTGAGGGCTTACTGAAGCCCCTAAACCCTAAACCCTAAACCGTTTAGGGTTTAGGGTTTAGGGTTTAGGGTTTAGGTTTTAGGGTGGACTTAGTAGTTAGGGTTATGTTTGGGGTTACAAGTGCCCTAAGTAGGGTTATCCTCAATATTTTGCTTACTAACTCCCATGAGAATTTAAGAAGGGCTTTGGGCCAGGGTTCTGGCAACTCTAGAGTTACGAGCGGTACCAGCAGGAGTAATGTTCGGCAGACAGAACTGATACTCACTGATACTTGGTATGTATAGCAGCATCCTAGAAATACCGGAATCCCCGACAAGAATGGTGAGATGGATTGTTCCGAGCTTCTGGGGTCAACAGTTCTCGATCTTAGGGCTCGGTTCGAGGGCTCAACCCTGATTAAAGGAATTTACAGGTTGGGAGTTTAGGTATATAGACCTTCTATAAGGCTCCTAGACCTGACGATGACAGATGCCAGCGGCTTGGACTGAAGGAAGCAGGATGGAAGCGTGAGGCTTGAAGGGCAGTAGCCCTTCGCCCCAATGCGTGCAAAGGAGTGCAGAAGCTGCAGTGCTGCATCTCAAGGCAGGTGCATGCGTCGGTCCTCCGCAGCTAGCGAAACTGCAAACCACATTGCCTCGAATATTGCATGATCCCCGTCCCGACAAGGCACCTTTGCACCTAGTCATCTTCACCCAGCAGAGCCTTATAAAGTTCTAAAGAACACTATCCTTTTGCGAGGCACCTCCTCCTGTGCCAGCTGCAGGCCACACAGACACTGAGCACAGCGGTTAGGATTGCAGTTTAGGTGTGCTGCTACAGGCTGAGGCAGCTCCATCAAGTATGTTGCCTGTCGGTTCAGCGGTTCATTTTCGTCGCACTTGTCAAGAAACTGCTGTGCTACTGTCCGGAAGCGTACTTTGCACATGTGTGGAATGGAGATGCTCAGATGTTCGCTTTACGGTTGCGGGTTCTTGTTTGATATTTTGTCTGGTTTGTTGGTGATCTTTTTGGGGGTTTTCGCCTGCATGGCTTCAAGCGCCGAGTCAGTCAGGCAGTCTGTCGGTCAGTCGATCCGCGAGCCCGCCGGGCAGTCAGTCGGTCAGTCGTCCGTCGATCCGCTAGCAGGCCAGCCAGTCAGTCAGTGGGTGCGTCGGTCGGTACGCGAGCACGCCGATGTGTCAGTCAGTCGGGAGGTCGGTCGGTTGGTCCATGCGCCAAGCGCCGGGCAGTCAGACAGTCGCTCGGTCGGTCGCCAATGTTTGAGATATATGATGAACCGACATCGCCAAATACGGGTGGCATGTTTAAGATATAGGACGAACCGTTATCGCCAAATATGGGGGGGGGGCGGGCGTGTTTAACATGTGTGCTGAACCGTCATCGCCAGATGAGGGGGCGTGCTTAAGATATGCGATGAACTGTTGTCGCCAAATGATGGGGCATGTTTAAGATATATGACGAACCGTTTATCGCCAAATGAGGTGGCGTGTTTAAGATACATGCAGAACCGGAATCGCCAAATTCTGGGGCATGTTTAAGACATATGATGAACCGGTGTCGCCAAATGACGGGGCATGTTTCAGATATGCGATGAACCGTTATCGCCCAATGAGACTGCGTGTGAAACATGTATGAAGAGCCGCTATCGAAAAATGAGGGAGCGTGTTTAACATGTGATGAACCGTTATCGCCAAAGGAGGGGACGTGTTTAACAGATGTGACGAGCCATTATCGCGAAACGAAGGGGCATGTTCAACATGTATGATGAACCCATATCACCAAATGCGGGGGCATGTTTAAGATATATGATGAAACTGAATCGCCAAATGAAGGGCGTGTGTAACATATATGATGAACCGCCAGTCCCCGTGGCATTGCGTTTGCAAGGGGGGGAGGTTGTGAACGTGCTTTACTGAACGCCGCACCGTCAAGAATGCTATTTGGCCATATGCGATTCCAACTGTAGTGAGCGGGGGGGCTTAAAG